CCATGGGGAAGTGGAAAAGAATCTTTCCTCCGTAAGCCATGCGTGTCGTATGAGGCGACTAAAATGCCGGGAGCAATGGGCTAGTAACCCCTTCTCCTGTATACAATTACTAAAAAAGAGAAGAAGAAAAACTTTATAAAACTGGGTTGCTTAAATGTGCGTGGATGTAGTGCGGATGACAAGAAACAGATGATTGCTGATGTTATGAATGAAAAGAAGTTGGATGTCCTGGCCCTAAGCGAAACAAAGCTGAAGGGGGTAGGAGAGTTTCAGTGGGGGGAAATAAATGGGATTAAATCTGGAGTATCTGAGAGAGTTAGAGCAAAGGAAGGGGTAGCAGTAATGTTAAATGATCAGTTATGGAAGGAGAAAAGAGAATATGAATGTGTAAATTCAAGAATATGTGGATTAAAGTAAAGGTTGGATGCGAGAAGTGGGTTATAATAAGCGTGTATGCACCTGAGAAGAGAGGAATGCAGAGGAGAGAGAGAGATTTTGGGAGATGTTAAGTGAATGTATAGGAGCCTTTGAACCAAGTGAGAGAGTAATTGTGGTAGGGGACTTGAATGCTAAAGTAGGAGAAACTTTTAGAGAGGGTGTGGTAGGTAAGTTTGGGGTGCCAGGTGTAAATGATAATGGGAGCCCTTTGATTGAACTTTGTATAGAAAGGGGTTTAGTTATAGGTAATACATATTTTAAGAAAAAGAGGATAAATAAGTATACACGATATGATGTAGGGCGAAATGACAGTAGTTTGTTGGATTATGTATTGGTAGATAAAAGACTGTTGAGTAGACTTCAGGATGTACATGTTTATAGAGGGGCCACAGATATATCAGATCACTTTCTAGTTGTAGCTACACTGAGAGTAAAAGGTAGATGGGATACAAGGAGAATAGAAGCATCAGGGAAGAGAGAGGTGAAGGTTTATAAACTAAAAGAGGAGGCAGTTAGGGTAAGATATAAACAGCTATTGGAGGATAGATGGGCTAATGAGAGCATAGGCAATGGGGTCGAAGAGGTATGGGGTAGGTTTAAAAATGTAGTGTTGGAGTGTTCAGCAGAAGTTTGTGGTTACAGGAAAGTGGGTGCGGGAGGGAAGAGGAGCGATTGGTGGAATGATGATGTAAAGAGAGTAGTAAGGAGAAAAAAGTTAGCATATGAGAAGTTTTTACAAAGTAGAAGTGATGCAAGGAGGGAAGAGTATATGGAGAAAAAGAGAGAAGTTAAGAGAGTGGTGAAGCAATGTAAAAAGAGAGCAAATGAGAGAGTGGGTGAGATGTTATCAACAAATTTTGTTGAAAATAAGAAAAAGTTTTGGAGTGAGATTAACAAGTTAAAAAAGCCTAGAGAACAAATGGATTTGTCAGTTAAAAATGGGAGAGGAGAGTTATTAAATGGAGAGTTAGAGGTATTGGGAAGATGGAAGGAATATTTTGAGGAATTGTTAAATGTTGATGAAGATAGGGAAGCGGGTGATTTCGTGTATAGGGCAAGGAGGAATAGCATCTTGTAGGAGTGAGGAAGAGCCAGTTGTGAGTGTGGGGAAGTTCGTGAGGCAGTAGTAAAATGAAAGGGGGTAAGGCACCCGGGGATTGATGGGATAAAGATAGAAATGTTAAAAGCAGGTGGGGATATAGTTTTGGAGTGGTTGGTGCAATTATTTAATAAATGTATGGAAGAGGGTAAGGTACCTAGGGATTGGCAGAGAGCATGCATATTTTCCTTTGTATAAAGGCAAAGGGGATAAAAGAGAGTGCAAAAATTATAGGGGATAAGTCTGTTGAGTGTACCTGGTAAAGTGTATGGTAGAGTTATAATTGAAAGAATTAAGAGTAAGACGGAGAATAGGATAGCAGATGAACAAGGAGGCTTTAGGAAAGGTGGGGGGTGTGTGGACCAGGTGTTTACAGTGAAACATATAAGTGAACAGTATTTAGATAAGGCTAAAGAGGTCTTTGTGGCATTTATGGATTTGGAAAAGGCGTATGACAGGTGGATAGGGGGGCAATGTGGCAGATGTTGCAAGTGTATGGTGTAGGAGGTAGGTTACTGAAAGCAGTGAAGAGTTTTACGAGGATAGTGAGGCTCAAGTTAGAGTATGTAGGAAAGAGGGAAATTATTTCCCAGTAAAAGTAGGCCTTAGACAAGGATGTGTGATGTCACCGTGGTTGTTTAATATATTTATAGATGGGGTTGTAAGAGAAGTAAATGCGAGGGTCTTGGCAAGAGGCGTGGAGTTAAAAGATAAAGAATCACACACAAAGTGGGAGTTGTCACAGCTGCTCTTGCTGATGACACTGTGCTCTTGGGAGATTCTGAAGAGAAGTTGCAGAGATTGGTGGATGAATTTGGTAGGGTGTGCAAAAGAAGAAAATTAAAGGTGAATACAGGAAAGAGTAAGGTTATGAGGATAACAAAAAGATTAGGTGATGAAAGATTGAATATCAGATTGGAGGGAGAGAGTATGGAGGAGGTGAACGTATTCAGATATTTGGGAGTGACGTGTCAGCGGATGGGGCTATGAAAGATGAGGTGAATCATAGAATTGATGAGGAAAAAGAGTGAGTGGTGCACTTAGGAGTCTGTGGAGACAAAGAACTTTGTCCTTGGAGGCAAAGAGGGGAATGTATGAGAGTATAGTTTTACCAACGCTCTTATATGGGTGTGAAGCGTGGGTGATGAATGTTGCAGCGAGGAGAAGGCTGGAGGCAGTGGAGATGTCATGTCTGAGGGCAATGTGTGGTGTGAATATAATGCAGAGAATTCGTAGTTTGGAAGTTAGGAGAGGTGCGGGATTACCAAAACTTTTGTCCAAAAAGGGGGGGGGGTTTTGGGGGTTCACGAAAAATAACAAAACAAATGTTAAGGGTTTTTAAAGGGGAAGGGAAAAAGGGGGTGGGTTGGCCAAATTTTTTGGGGGGGGGTTTTGGGGGTTTTGGGGGTTCGGGGTTGGGTTTTGGGGTCTATTTTTGATGGAAATAATGGGAAAATGGAATTTGAGGTGTTGGAGTGGAGAAAAAATTTTTGAGGATTGGGGAAGGGGCCATTTGAGGAAAAGGGGAAGGGAAAAAGAAGGGGGGTTTTAAGTTGATTTTAAAAATGTGGAAAAACCCCCCCTTTTTTAATGGATGTAATTGAAAACCCCTTTTCGGACCCCCGGGGGAATGGCCTTAAAAAAAAAAAAAAAAAAAAAAAATTTCCTTTTTATTTTTTAACAAAATTTTTATTCCCCAAAAAAAAAAAAGGGTTTAAACGAATTTTGTATTAACCCCTTTTTAAAAATTTTCCCCCCCTTTTATTAAATTACCCCTTTTTTAACTCTTAATATTCCCAAAAATTAAAATTTCTTATTTATCAGTCCGTTTTTAAAAAAAATTTTTTAAAATACCATTTTTAATTTTCCACTTTCAAATTGAAAAGAAATAAATTCTAAAAAAAAAAAAAAACTGCAAACCCTTTTTTAAAAAAAATTTAAAAATTTTTTTTTTTTTTATAAAATTCCAAAATGTTTTATTGCACATCCCCAAGAATGTATTTTTTTGGAAGTAATTTTATAAGGGGACCTTTAATTTTACGGGGCCCTGCTAAACCGTGATCCAGGGGACCCTAAAAAAAACCCAAACCCACTTTTTCAGAAATTTTTTACCAAATCATCGCACCCCCTTTCGTTTTTAAATCTCTTTCTTTTTTAATTTTTTCCCTTTTTTCTAAAGGGTTGGGACTAAAGCTTTTTTTGGGGGCCCATGGGTACTTTTTTTGCAGAAAAAACCCAAAAACAGTGTTTAAATGGGAATGTACCGAATTTTATCCTTGATGCACCACCTGGGAACACCAGGGCTCAGGGGCCACACGGGACCGTCTCTACGAAAAGTATCAAAAACCGGTTTTCCTCGAATTTTCGAGGGAAAATTTTTTTTCATTAAAAAGCATCGAATGTCGGATTTATCGAATGTCGATGCCCTCGAAGTCAGGGGGCCACTGTATTTTATGTGAAAAAAAAAAAAAAAAAAACTTTTTGGGGGTCGGAACGGATTAATTGGTTTCCATTATTTCTTATGGGAAAAAATAATTGGCTAACACAAACCCTTTGGAACGATTAATTGGGCGAGGGGCCACTGTAAAATATCATTTTTTTATGTTATTCTATTGTTCATTATGCAATAAATGAATTGTGAAGAAAAATAAGTTCAGAGTTGAATTTAAAAAATACTGAATATTTTTGTCATGCCTGGAATTCCACTGGAACGGATAATTTTCCCTGGAAAGATAAAACTCTAAGTGAGGTTTCCCCTGTAAAGGTGATAGGTAAGAAGTTAGAAAGGGAAAACTTCACTGCAGCTAAAAAGGGGATCTTAATTTTTTTTTAACACATCAGCTTTTTCCCCCTGAGGCAGGGTGACCCAAAAAAAGAAGAAACCCTTTTATCTTCACTCCACACTGTCTTGCCAGGGTGGCCAACAATAAGTTCAAAAAATGCAAGTAAGTGATTTTTGGGAGGGAAGCATTGGAGATGAACTCTTAAGACAAAATGAACCCTAGAATAATCCGGAGGGGGGTTTTGGGGGGCAAACCCGTGGGGGCCCGGGCGTGTTAGGCCCAAATTCAGTATTAAAGATAGAAGCTTAAGAGCCTTGGGGTTTTTGCGCCCAGTTTTGATTGTAATATTTTTTTTCAACACGTACCTGTTTTCCCCCCCGAGGAGAGTGACCCAAAAAAAAAGAAATACTTTCACCTCATTTACACATAAACACTGCTTTTTTAAGGGGGTCAGATCAAAAAGAAAGGATAAAGATAAGAATAGTTGCAGTACTGATGAACTGCTCCACATGGCGCAGTGATGAGGAGTGGTGAGAAAGTGTTTTTCTTTTTTGGTCACCCTGCCTTGGGGGGAAATGGTTATGAAAAAAAAAAAAAAGATAGAAAAGTCAAAAATACGAATAGGGGTAAAAAATAGGTTTCAAGTAAAAATTAGTAAGCAGATAATTGAGATTGCTCACCTCCTTCGAAGCGGAAAAAACAACGCCTGAAAAGGCGTAGCGATCAATGACAATGTTGGTTCCCTTTGCTAAAGTCATCTTTATTTTGGGTAACAACTCCCATCTGAAACAAAATGAAGTATGTGACTCTAGTCCGTGACATTTCTAGTGTAAGGCTTAATACCTAGTCTAGAAAGTTGGTAAATTCTTGTGATGCTACAAAGCGAAAAGATCTATGAAAAACTGAATGTCACCTTGGTAATATATTTTAAGCCTATTTTAACACAGTGCAGAATAAGTTGCCATACTTAGAATAATACATTCGGTTGCAGTGAGCTAGCAAAAATTATTTTTACATTCTACGTGCAGCAGTGAGTTGACTAGCTTGATATCTAGCAGAAATTCTACTCTAAGAGTATACCTGGAGTGTGTTCCAAGGGTCAACGCCCCCGCCGCCTGGTCCATGACCAGGCCTCAATGGCAGATCAGGGACTGATCAACCAGGCTATTAGTGCTGGCAACACGTAAACCAATGTACGATCCACAGCCTGATTGGTCAGGCACTGACTTTGTGTCTGTTCAGCTCCCTCTTGAAAACAACCAGAGGTCTTGAAGACACCCAGGTGTCTATGTATGCTGGGAAGCAGCTGAACAGTCTTGGGCCCCTGACCCTCATATTGTCTCTTAGCATACTCATGGTGCCCCTGCTTATGCAGCACCCAGTACAATACTACCATACTCTTTTCTGAAAACTTATTTATCCATGATTTCTTTGCTCTTCTAAAAATTGTCAAAGGGAAAAAGTTGAGGACTAAAGAGTGTCTTACAGTTAAGAACATTAATTATCTATTTGCAGATACTTGTCTTAATGTTAGGTAAATGGGCAGATACAACTAATGTGACATTTTATTGTGGCAACATTTTGTTCTCATAGAACTCTGTGAAGCTGTAATGGCCTGAGTTATTAGAGAGAGAAAGAGATGATTCTTCTGCAACATGTGTACAATATCCACTGCTCTCAGAGCGGTATCCACTGTGACAATTTATGATGTTAGCTAAAAAATGAGGTATTAATGACCTAGGAGCTACCATGAAGGTAGAAGCAACACCAATAGAGATTCCCAAATATTGCACAAGACACTCCATACAGCATCCACACAGACGATCCAATTTACAGCGTTGTTATTTACTTGTGACCAGCTTGATAATCATCACATGGGGAGGTTGTCGGTCAATGAAAAACAAATATCTATACAGGTACCATCCGACTTACGACCAAGTTCGGTTCCAACCAACCAGTCATAAGTCGAAATGGACCTAAGTCAAACCTTACTACTGAATATCAACATCACATTTTTGTAATGACTTTATTTTATTGTTTTATTTTGGTATTTCATTTTTTGCTTTACTTTTTATGCTGTTAGCACTGTATTTTATACTGTAAGGTTTTGGATAAACACCGTGTACAACACAAACAGCTGTTTATTTCCCAGAAATTTTGCATACAAAACACAGTCGTAAGTCGAATGGTCATATGTCGAGCAGGTTGTAAGTGGGATGGTAGGTGTACAGCTCAATAAAGTTCCTGGAGAGCAAAATGTTGCAACAATAAAATGTCACATTACCTGCGCATGTGTCCATTTACATAACATTTTCTTGGTAATTCTACCATTATTACTGATCGACTTAAGCCTTTCCCCTGACCTTAAAAATGACAGCCTAAAGTACATGATCTCAAAGTTTTATGTCTTATGAAATCCAGCAAATAAATGAAAAAATTTTCACCTGATCTACCAAATATAGTTTCTAACTGTAAAATCTAATCTGTAATTAACCTCATATTTTGCCTATTGTTAATACAATTTTATTTTAAGCTATAAACTATAAAACTTTTTACCTCTTCAAACTAACTTTACACAGATCTATGTGACATACTTAGCACAGTAAGAAACTATTAATTACAGTCATGGTGGAGGTAGAGAAAGCACTAAACCTGTAGGAATTATAGTGCATGGAGAATGGGAGGCAATTAAGTTTGATTCAAGGAAGGGGAGTTTAAGTGCAATTTCTTAGATCAAGAGCCCTTCATTAACATCAAGGAATCTCCCTTATGACGAGTAAGAGTCTAACAACACATATTGGTAACAGTACACAAATAACCTGCACATATGGAAGGGGGGGTTACCAACAGACCCCTGGCTGTTTTCAAACCCCCTTGCTGTCTTCAAGAGGGAGCTGGACAGGCATACAGTACCTGACCAGCAAGGCTGCGTATCCTATATTGATTTGTGTGTGACCAACAGTAACAGCCTGGTCCATGGCCAGGCCTCCAGGTCGTTGATCCCCGAAACCCCCTCCATGGAAAACCCTCTAGGTATAGGGGAAAGAAACTTATGATAATGTTTTGGTCAAACCTGTACCATTAACTAACCAGTGTGTGTCTAGTTAATGTTCCAAGTGCAACCATAAAGTGGCCATAAATTTCTTTCATTCATGAGCAGGTTATTGTGTACTGTTCCAGTCATGGTATTGTGCCTCTTTGTTCTTTACTGTTAACAGTCGAGGATTCACCTGTTGGCGGAGAAAAGCAGGTGAATGGCGTGGTCCTCCAATTCAGTGCCACACTTGAGGTAATTATTAATGATGCCACCGATCTGGGTGCTCCTGTCTGAGAATATACCAATATTATAATTTTTTTTTTTTTCAACACGTCAGTCGTCTCCCACCGAGGCAGGTGTTCCAAAAAGAAAGAAAATCCCCAAAAAATGAAAAATGCTTTCATCATCATTCAACACTTTCACCTCACTCATACATAATCACTATCTTTGCAGAAGCACTCAGATATGACAGTTTAGGTCCTTCCAAACTGCCAATATCCCAAACCCCTCCTTTAAAGTGCAGGCATTGTACTTCCCCTTTCCTACCAAGTGAGTGTAAAAAAGAAGCTTGTATTTGTTTTACATGATGGTAGGATTGCTGGTCTTTTTTCTGTCTCATAAACATGCAAGATTTCAGGTACATCTTGCTGCTTTTACTTACACTTAGGTCACACTACACGTACATGTACACATTTATGTATACACACTCACAAAGGGGGCAGTAAAGCAATAGCAAAGAACTACAGACCAATAGCGCTAACATCCCATATCATAAAAATCTTTGAAAGAGTCTAAGAAGCAAGACTGCCACCCATCTAGATACCCATCAGTTACACAACCAAGGGCAACATGGGTTTAGAGCAGGTCACTCCTGTCTGTCCCAGCTATTGGACCACTATGACAAGGTCCTGGATGCTCTAAAAGATAAACAAAATGCAGATGTAATATACACAGACTTTGCAAAAACCTTTGACAAGTGTGATCATGGTGTAATAGTACACAAAATGAGTGATAAAGGAATAACAGGAAAAGTTGGTAGATGATCTATAATTTACTAACAAATAGAACACAAAGAGTAGTAATTAACAGAGTAAAGTCTGAGGTGACTATGGTGAAAAGCTCTGTTCAACAAGGCACAGTACTCGCTCCCATCTTGTTCCTCATCCTCAAATCTGACACAGACATGGAGCCACAGCTCCATGTCTTCCTTTGCAGATGACACCCGAATCTGCATGAGTGTCCTCCATAGAAGACACCACAATACTTCAGGCGGAAATCAACCAAATCTTTATGGGCTGCAGAAAACAATATGAAGCTCAATGATGAGAAATTTCAATTACTCCAATACGGAAAATGTGAGGAAATCAAAACTACATCAGAGTATAAAACAAATTCTAACCACATAATGGAGTGAAAAAGTAATGTAAAGACCTGGGAGTGATCATGTCAGAAGATCTCACCTTTAAAGACCATTACATTGTATCAATTGCATCTGCAAGAAAAATGATAGGATGGATAATGAGAACCTTCAAAACTAGGGATGCCAAGCCCATGATACTCTTCAGGTTGCTTGTTCTATCTAGGCTGAAATACTGCTGTGCACTAACAGCACCTTTCAAGGCAGGCAAAACTGCTGACCTAGAAAATGTACAGAGAACCTTCACGGCACATATAACTGCGATAAAACACCTAAATTACTGGGAATGCTTCAAGTTCCTCAACCTGTTCTCCCTAGAATGCAGGCGGGAGAGATACATGATCATATACACTTGGGAAATCCTAGAGGGATTAGTACCAAACTTGCACACGAAAATCACTTCCTACGAAAGCAAAAGACTTGGCAGACAATACAACATCCCCCCAATGAAAAGCAGGGGTGCCACTAGCATGAAAAGAGACCACAGTAAGTGTCAGGGGCCCTAGACTATTCAACTGCCTCCCAGCATACATAAGGGGGGGATTACTAGTAGTCCCCTGGCTGTCTTCAAGCATACTCTGGACAGGCACCTAAAGTCAGTACCTGACCAGCCGGGCTGCGGTTCATACGTCGGTTTGCATGTGGCCAACAGTAACAGCCTGGCTGATCAAGCCCTGATCCACCATGAGGCCATGTTATAGACCGGCCGTGGGGGCGTTGACCCCCGGAACCCTCTCCATGTAAACTCATGAGTTTTCTTTGATTTTATCTTAATAGTTCTTGTTCTTATTGCTTTTCCTTTCACATCCATGGGGAAGTGGAATAAAAATCCTTCGTAAGTCATGTGTGTTGTAAAAGTCAACTAAAGTGCCAGTAACAATGGGCTAATAACCCCTTTTCCTATATAGCTTACTAAAAAGAAAAAAAGAATATTATAAATACAGTGGACCCTCAGTTATCGGCCAAATCGGTTATCGGCCGGTTTTTTGGCTCCAGGTTATCAGCTGTTATTTTGCTTATCGGCCATATGGTACACGTCAACCCGCTGCCGCCAGCCACGAAGCACGTCAGTCTGGCTTTGTCTTTGGGCGAGTGAGGAAGCTTCTGCTCATTCATCCAAACATTTCGCAACAATTCTTTGATTTTTGTGGTTATCGATTAAGCACAACTGGGAAATAAGTAACCACTGCCCAAAAGAAAGTTTCTAGTAAAGTTCCTTTGGTAAAGAAAGAAGTTGTTGAAAAGTATGAGAGTGGTGTTCGAGTGCTAGAACTTGCTAGGATGTATGGGAAAAACAAATCAACAATCACTTCTATCCTGCCAAAGAAAGAACAAATCAAGGAAGCTGATGTGGCGAAAGGAGTAAATGTGCTAACCGAAGGTCACCGATAATGGAAGATATGGAGAAGTTGTTGGTTTTGTGGATCACCAAAAAACAATTAGCGGGAGATAGTGAGGAGTCGATGTTCGACCTTGCATGCAGTCTTGAAGAAAATGCCTGACAGTCTGTTGTAGTGAATTTAAGCAAAGGCAAATTAAAACAATAACGGCATACAGGGTGGATAGGGGGGCAATGTGGCAGATGTTGCAGGTGTATGGTGTAGGAGGTAGGTTACTGAAAGCAGTGAAGAGTTTTTACGAGGATAGTGAGGCTCAAGTTAGAGTATGAGGAAAGAGGGAAATTATTTCCCAGTAAAATGTAGGCCTTAGACAAGGATGTGTGATGTCAACCGTGGTTGTTTAATATATTTATAGATGGGTTGTAAGAGAAGTAAATGCAAGGGTCTTGGCAAGAGGCATGGAGTTAAAAGATAAAGAATCACACATAAAGTGGGAGTTATCACAGTTGCTCTTTGCTGATGACACTGTGCTCTTGGGAGATTCTGAAGAGAAGTTGCAGAGATTGGTGGATGAATTTGGTAGGGTGTGCAAAAGAAGAAAATTGAAAGTGAATACAGGAAAGAGTAAGGTTATGAGGATAACAAAAAGATTAGGTGATGAAAGACTGGATATCAGATTGGAGGGAGAGAGTATGGAGGAGGTGAATGTATTCAGATATTTGGGAGTGGACGTGTCAGCGGATGGGTCTATGAAAGATGAGGTGAATCATAGAATTGATGAGGGGAAAAGGGTGAGTGGTGCACTTAGGAGTCTGTGGAGACAAAGAACTTTGTCCTTGGAGGCAAAGAGGGGAATGTATGAGAGTATAGTTTTACCAACGCTCTTATATGGGTGTGAAGCAGGGTGATGAATGTTGCAGCGAGGAGAAGGCTGGAGGCAGTGGAGATGTCATGTCTGAGGGCAATGTGTGGTGTGAATATAATGCAGAGAATTCCCAGTTTGGAAGTTAGGAGGAGGTGCGGGATTACCAAAACTGTTGTCCAGAGGGCTGAGTAAGGGTTGTTGAGGTGGTTCGACATGTGGAGAGAATGGAGCGAAACAGAATAACTTCAAGAGTGTATCAGTCTGTAGTGGAAGGAAGGCGGGGTAGGGGTCGGCCTAGGAAAGGTTGGAGGGAGGGGGTAAAGGAGGTTTAGTGTGCGAGGGGCTTGGACTTCCAGCAGGCATGCATGAGCGTGTTGATAGGAGTGAATGGAGACAAATGGTTTTTAATACTTGACGTGCTGTTGGAGTGTGAGCAAAGTAACATTTATGAAGGGGTTCAGGGAAACCGGCAGGCCGGACTTGAGTCCTGGAGATGGGAAGTACAGTGCATGCACTCTGAAGAAGGGGTGTTAATGTTGCAGTTTAAAAACTGTAGTGTAAAGCACCCTTCTGGCAAGACAGTGATGGAGTGAATGATGGTGAAAGTTTTTCTTTTTCGGGCCACCCTGCCTTGGTGGGAATCGGCCAGTGTGATAATAATATGTGATAATAACGGCATACGCAGTGTGGTAAGGCATGAGGAGGCTGCACGTTCTGACAAATGTGCATATTACAAACACTAGTTTAACATAAAAACACCATTACCTCTACACAGGTAGTGTGTTATTTTTTCATTAGCTTGTTACTAGTGCTGTAACATGGGAGAGTTCAGCATTACAAAAATAAACACTAAAATTTATAATATTTACTTATAATATTTGCATAAGAATATAACAAGGAGTCTAACTCCTACTCTTATCTTCGGTATAGCTACGTACTTTACGAAGTCATACACAATATACAAAGTCACATAAACAATCAATGTAAAAGTAAATCATCATAACCCTAAGTGCCCCAGTGTCATATGTCACTGCCATCTTCAGGTGTCTTACAACATTACCAATTCCAGTGTTAAGATATTCCTTCATCGTGTCCTATGACACCACTTTGTCTCCGCGTTATAACACCCTTCTCTTGTGTGTCACATGACACCCTTTGCTTCATGTTATAACACTCCTTCAACGTGGTACACCCAGGACACTGCCTTGTCCCTGTGTTTTAACAGTCTCTTTATGTCCTTTTCACTGCGTCATTTGACACTAACTCACCGGGTCACAATACCGACTTTTTTTCTAAGAATACTTGTGTCACCTGGCATGCTCACTGGGTTACCCAACCCTGATTTTCCGTGTTCGTGTCACCTGACAAGCAACGCTCACCGGGTTACACACAGCCTGGCTTCCAATGTCCATGTCATGACACAACGCTCACCAGGTTACAACACCCTGGCTTTCCACTATACTTCTGTCCATGTCACCTGACACACAATGCTCACCGGTTACAACACCCTGGCTTCCCATGTATCCATCCTCTGACACAGAGACCCACAGGTCTCTGAGGTCTGCTACAGAAGCCTAAGTCAGCAGGTGTCCACTCCATGAGGCAGTCTAGTGAACACTCTCAAAGGCCAATCACCAGCAGGTGTATTCTGTGAGAGTCTGGTGAACA